AAACTAATATGCTTTCTTTAATCAATAAAAACATTTTTCGCTTATGAAATCTCGTAACCTTTTGGCGACAAATGCTTCATTTTAAACAAGCAAATCGTTATTTTTCCTTATTTTTTTGCAGCGCATTTCAAAGCTTATTATTATTAATGTTTTTTTTTCCATATAGCATATTTGTTTTTTTAAAGCTGTAGTATAAGCTAATGCAACCAACGCTCCCATAGATTACGTTATACACAGATAAAGATCATGTTATCTGATTAATCTGATCCATTTTGATGCACGTCATAGGGCTATATGTAGATATCATGGCCAATATTGACGTCTATGTCAGGGTCTGGCTATATGTAGATATCATGGCCAATATTGACGTCTATGTCAGGGTCTGGCTATATGTAGATATCATGGCCAATATTGACGTATATGTCAGGGTCTGGCTATATGTAGATATCATGGCCAATATTGACGTCTATATCAGGGTCTGGCTATATGTAGATATCATGGCCAATATTGACGTCTATGTCAGGGTCTGGCTATATGTAGATATCATGGCCAATATTGACGTCTATGTCAGGGTCTGGCTATATGTAGATATCATGGCCAATATTGACGTCTGTCGATGGCCCTGTCATGGTCCTAATGTCACAATCGAAGATTTTGTTGAATAATAAATAGGGTCTATGTGGATATAAACACGATGGCTGTCGCAATCGTTACATTTCATTAATATTTCATAAAGTTTCAATCAATTAATTATTCTGCTGGTTGTTTGAATAAAATATCCTCACTCAATGGCTCAACGTGTCTGACAGTTTTATTTCGTGCCTAACAACCTAACAACCTAACAACCCGAAAAGCGAGCATTCACTTGAAAAAAAAAAGGTCACTGCCGGTACAATTGCCCGTTAAATTGATTTTAAATACTGAACCCATACACACAATCATACAAACAACAGTTAAAACATGTAACACGCCTACACACCAGAATCGTTGCGACCTATTACGGCGCCCGGGATTAACTATCAAAGTTCCACCCCCCTACCTGGTATAAAAATAGTTATTGTAATTAACTTTTTTGGCAATGGTTAGAAGGGGGGGGGGCTTTAGTTATGTAATAAAATTGATGTAGATGACAGGTAAATCAATCAGGAGAACTTTGACTGTACTCAATACAGTAATGTAGCTCCCTTAGGGTCGGCGCCCAACACGCCCTCCCCTAGCTACGCCTCTGACTACACACACAATTATAAAAAACAACTGTCAATAGATCTCCTTTCAGGCATATCTGCGGGGAAATTTTGAGTGCGTTTACCCGGATGTTCACGCTCCCCCCCCCCGTCTGAAAGAAACCCTGACATTGAAAAACACCTCACAAAACAACAGTGTAATACATCATGACTAGAATATACACATATGTATAAAAAATATTAAATTATACCCAATTATAGCGCGTATATACAAGTATATATATATATATATATATATATATATATATATATATATATATATATATATATATAGGCCTACATAATATAGACACACATATATATTTATATATGTCTATATTATGTATATATGTATATATATAAGTATATATATATATATATATATATATATATATATATATATATATATATATGATTGACGTGATATAATATGATATAAACAAGTTGCCTGTCGATGTATTCATTGTCTTAGACAAAAGTAAACTAACAGGCTTATCTAAAAGCTAAAAATTCTGTTGCACTTTGACACAGAAAGATCTAAAATTAAAGATTACAACATTACACTGACAGTAAACTAACTATCTAAATACGCTTCCTATTGTAATGATATTCTCTAGTCTGACAGTTCAGATTGAGGTATTGCGTCATAAACAGGTGTTCCCACAACTGAGTGGCGTGATTCAGCAGATGAAGGGAAACACACTGCCCTGGTTTATGACAAGGGTGGATGTCCTACGTACACATTGCTTTATGACAAGGGTGGATGTCCTACGTACACATTGCTTTATGACAAGGGTGGATGTCCTACGTACACATTGCTTTATGACAAGGGTGGATGTCCTACGTACACATTGCTTTATGACAAGGGTGGATGTCCTACGTACACATTGCTTTATGACAAGGGTGGATGTCCTACGTACACATTGCTTTATGACAAGGGTGGATGTCCTACGTACACATTGCTTTATGACAAGGGTGGATGTCCTACGTACACATTGCTTTATGACAAGGGTGGATGTCCTACGTAGAAGATAAAAAAAAGGCCTCGTATTCGTTGTGAAACACTGACGTCATACAGTGATGATTGGACGAAGGACACGGAACCAGTTGTGAAGCGTTTGACCACATCAGCACCATGTGAATAGAGGACTAGAGAGTAACAAGCAACATGTTAACACATTTTAACACAAACACATTTTAACACGTAAACACACTTTTTAACATCTCAACGTTTTCACACGTAAACTATTTTAACACACTTAAACACATTTTAACACAAACACATTTTAACACGTAAACACACTTTTTAACATCTCAACGTTTTCACACGTAAACTATTTTAACACACTTAAACACATTTTAACACAAACACATTTTAACACGTAAACACACTTTTTAACATCTCAACATTTTCACACGTAGACTATTTTAACACACTTAAACACATTTTAACACAAACACATTTTAACACGTAAACACACTTTTTAACATCTCAACATTTTCACACGTAGACTATTTTAACACACTTAAACACATTTTAACACAAACCCATTTTAACACGTAAACACATTTTAACAAGTATACATATTTTAACATATAAACACATTCGTAAAGTAAACTTTGTTAACACATTTTTAACATCTAATCTAAAGACATTTCATACGTTAACTTTGTTAACATATTTTTAACATCTAAAGACATTTCATACATAAACTTTGTTAACATATTTTTAACATCTAAACATATTTTAACATATATACACATTGGTAACGTAAACACATTTTTAATCACGTGAACCGTTTTGTTTACTCCTTATACTAGAGAAATATTAAACGGCTGTTTCTTTAAGATCAAATTTGGTATTGTAATTGTTATTTTTAAATTGTAAAGTTCTATATAAAGCCTGATTGCTAAATTTAGACCTTGTGTCTGGGTTTATATTTAGACCTTTGTTGTTTTGAAAAGGTTCGACACGAGGTGGGAAATCTGGTTTTTGTGACGCCATGCGACCATAAGGGGTAGAAGAGGGGTGGGGGCGCGGGAATATTCAACCTGCTGACGTAGTTGAGGCGCCAAAGCGGATGTGTTCAATCCAGTAGTTGCAAACGGCCCCACGGGACTAATTAAATTTTAAATAATTAGCCGTCGCCGACAATAGCTGTTATTGTTTGGATCTTGCCATGTAGGCCAAAAAATTGGGTGTGATCTGTGACTAGATAAGCTGGTAAATGTAGGGTGAAACACAAAGTCAGGTGTGATTTCAAGAACATGATGGTAGTTATATAAAATTACAAAGTTAGTATATGAAAAAACAAAGTCAGTACATGTACCATTTATATAAAAAACACATTGTCGGTGACATAAAAATGATAAATTACTGTATATAAAAATCACAATTAAGATTAATGTGTTTCTAGTCTGATTACAATTTCTCCTTTCTGACTTGGACGTCCCTGATGTGTTGTGTGGCCTAAAATGGTCGGGATGAAATACTTGGATAGGAAAAATGGGCGGAATAAAATACTTGTATAGGAAAAATGGTCGGAATAAAATACTTGGATAGGAAAATAGCTGGAAGATAAGCAGATTAGCAGATGACAACATTGCCTGGTTCGGCCACACTTAGGGGTCCTCATCGTTGACAATGTTAGGGGGTCGTTCATCAATGTTGTCTTGAATGTTGACAATTTTAGTGGTCGTTCATCAATGATGTCTTGAATGTTGATAAAGTTACGGGTTGTTCATCAATGACGCCTTGAATGTTGATAAAGTTACGGCTCGTTCATCAATGACGCCTTGAATGTTGATAAAGTTACGGGCTGTTGAACAATGATGTCTTGAATGTTGATAAAGTTACGGCTCGTTCATCACTGACGTCTTGATTGCAAACGACTGATACACCCAGGATACCTTCACACTGTTCTACACTACCCCAATTATAATCTGTCGATGCTGCAATAATTTATACGAGAATCCTGTAAAAATTAAGGCGCTGACTCACCACAGATGTACGGGCAGGCAGCAGAAAAATGTATAGGAAAAAAATTCTTTCGTGTTTGGTATGGTATATGTTCCTCTATGTTTTTAACAATTTAAATGTTTTCTCAACTCCAATTATTTTTGGACACAGAATGTTTTGGATACTTGAATCTTTGGGCACGGATAAGTCCTGTCAAACAATAACACATTTTCGTCCAACGAAAATTTTCTCAGCGATCGATTTTACGATTGGCGAAACTGACCACATAGGCCCATGTTATCCATCACATCGTTAGGGCTGTTGTTTCCTGGCGCGCCATCTTATCTGTCGATGCTGCAATAATTTATACGAGAATCTTGTACAAATGTGGCGCTGACTCACCACGGATCTACGGGCAAATGTATAGGAAAAAAACGCTTTCGTGTTTGGTATGGGCAATAATCAGGGGAAATAACTCTAATTTCAAGGGAGATAACTGCTGTCTTGAAAGTCAAGTTTAATGGGATGAGTAATAAAATACATAACGTTTGCGATTTAATAACAACAACAAAACAAAACAACAACAGCGTGGCGTTGGCTGCCATAGTTGACTTAAATCTGACACAAAAAAATGTCCCCTACGTAGCACAAGTAGTGTCGCTGTTAAGTTCCGTTATCGCTCCTTTCAACAGCGATGACGTAAATTAAGACCACAGTTAGGAGATTAGAAAAAAATATTTTAAGACACGGGCTAAAAATAATCCAGAAAACCCCGGCCTAATTTAACTCGAGGGATATTTCACAATTCAGTGACCCTTCCTATAAAGCAGCCAGCACTGGGCCGGGGCCGCCAGTGTGTGTGTGTGTGTGTGTGTGTGTGGTGGTTGCTACGCCACTCACTATTTGTTTGCGCCGAGCGACCACTTTTACACGGGTCGCCTTATACATTTGATCGAACAGCCGTGGCTTAGCGTTGTTGTGTATTGATTAGGGTATCACGTGTGGTTGGATTCATCTGCTTTTATTTAGACGATTACCCTTTGAAAACACAAGATCAGGTAATGTGGAGTCTTTATGCTTTATTTTAATTATAAAAAATATATTAGTATTATATGGGCCTATAGTGGGCATAAAATACACGCTGTAGGCCTGAGTATGTTTAAAAATAAAAAAGTTTAATAGGTTATTTAATGACTGATTATTAAGATTTAAAAATATAAAATATAATCTTATATAAATGTATTATAAATTCACAAGTAACCTTTTAAAATAGGAAAAAGTTTGTATTAGTTGTAGTCTATACCTAAACTCAGTTGATCCAACCCTATGACTATACAAGTAGCCTATAGACCAGGGTGTTACTGGATACTTAATAGAGACTGAAATACTTGCTTGGTTTAATCTCACTGACTTCACCCCCCCCCCCCCGTTTGTTTCTCTGGTTGGGGCTTAAGTCTGGGGGTCGTGCACATAGAAATGTAATAGAACACTCAAATATAGGCTTGTGTTATAAACCCATTGCCTAATATAACATCAACCACCCCTAATAGGCTATTGGACTATATCAGAGGCGTCGCGAAGTGGGGGTGCAGCGGGTGACACCATTTCGGGGGGGGGGGGTGACACCAAGACAAAAAAGAATAAAATATATAGAAGAAATGCTTTTTGCCAGTTTAATGAATGATTAATTAGAGTTTAAGAAGTATTTAAGTACAAATAACGAACCCGACAAGGTGGGAGGGGGGGGGAGACCATGACACAAACCTGCTATCTATATAGAAAATAATGTTATAACCAGCCGTATTAACTGTTTATAGATGAACATCTTTACTTTAAAAACTTTAAAGCTATCACCCGGGGGGGGGGGGGGGGGGGGGGGGAGAATGGGGACGACGACACCAACTGCAAATTATACAGAAGAATAAAAATATGTTGAATATTTTCAATCGATGACCGGGGTTTGGATGACACGATATATAATAATTTACTATCAAACGAATGCTTTTTTTTCACTTGAATTATTAGGTGGATTAATATAATATGTGTGTATATATATATATATATATATATATATATATATATATATATATATATATATATATATATATATATATATATATACGTTATTTTCCTGCGTTGGGGGGGGGGGGAGGGGTGACACCAAGAATAGCCACCCCGGGTGCCACCCGACCTAGCGACGCCACTGACCTATATTATTGACCTACGTGCCTTTTATTATATGCTAAAATATAAGGGCGGCAGACCCTCACCATTCCATCACGCCGACAACTCCAACACACACCATTTAGAGATAGCGTCATTTCATTTATTTAAAAGCTGCCAATCAATAAACAAACATTTTGTAAAGATGACAGTGTGTGCTAATTCAGCCCTACACAACTTGCTGGTAACTGACAGACATCTCGTCAGCTGTGTTTTTCTCTCGCTACAACACGATCTTGAGTTGTACTAGGCTATAGTCTCTTGCTGAAATTGCTGAAAGCGTCTGCCTATCTTACAACGACAAACATCGTGTTCGCCATAGACAGATAAAGAGAGATAAACTTTACATTGTAGCCTAGATAAGTCATCCAAGACCATGAAAGCTGTCCATAAATACAACATTCTTTGTAGGTAGATTTATTACCTCCATACCCACCATCTCACATATCGTCACAAAAAGCCCCCCCCCCCCCTCTAAAATAAGATTACAATTCAGCCTCCCTCTACCAAAACACATTGCTATTTGTTGTTTATCTATTTTTGCTTGATTTTTCGCTACAGTAAAAAAATATGTGAACAAATATAAAACTGTTAAGTTAAGTTTCAAAAATTACATTTTAAAATGCAATATTGTAGCGGTAGACATTCTGCCCCCCCTCCCCCACCCACATACCCGTCACAAAAAGTCAGCAAGGCATCCATCCTAGGAATGTGACGTCATCTATGGACGGCACTCCTAGAGTATAGAGACGTTAAACATAGGTTAAAATATAGGTTAAAATATAGGTTAAAATATAGGTTAAAATATAGGTTAGAAGCTAGAGCTGAAATATGCCATTACAGAAGTTTTAAATATAGGTTAGAAGCTAGAGCTGAAATATGCCATTACAGAAGTTTTAAATATAGGTTAGAAGCTAGAGCTGAAATATGCCATTACAGAAGTTTTACCTACTCTGTTCACGTAATACCTAGAAACTAATGTTACGCGGCTTGTCGCTTTTGTCGCTAAAATATGTAAAGGATCTCATGAGCTATCAAAGCTTTTATTAAAGAAAGCAAATTAGTTTTATTTTTTATTTTCAGTGCATTTAATAGCTTTTTTGCTTTTTCTAATTTTCTAATTTTGGGTGATTCCTAATTTATGACACGATTAAAAATATTTGCTTTAACACACCACCAGTAGTTCGCGATATATGAAAGATGAATATCCGCCACGTGAAAGCAGCCGTCCGTGACCATATTTTACAGACGATAGCAAGGTCTTAATCTTGTTACCTCCCCTTAGTTTCAAATAGCTTAAAAACGTTTGAAAATAGCTTGCGAATGTAAACATTCTCGTAGACCACAGCTTACTAGACGGTTAGGGTAACGAATCTAGCTTGTAACCTCCCCTTCTGTTATTGAATATAGGAATCTATCGTGTGATTTAATTTTGTTATCTCCTCTTAGTTTCGAAACAGTTCAATTAATTTTTGATGACTAACTAACTAATTAAATAATAAAAAACACACTTGTATTGTCATTGAAGTGTAACATATCTAGAAAGTATGAATGAAATAGCTGCATTAGAAGTGAGTCAAACAAACAAACAAACAAACAAACAAACAAACAAACAAACAAACAAACAAACAAACAAACAAACAAACAAACAAACAAACAAACAAACAAACAAACAAACAAACAAACAAACGAACAAACGAACAAACAAACAAACAAACAAACAAACGAACAAACAAACAAACAAACGAACGAACGAACGAACGAACAAACAAACGAACAAACGAACAAACAAACAAACGAACAAACGAACAAACAAACAAACGAACAAACGAACAAACGAACAAACGAACAAAAGAACAATGAGACGTTGCGAACTAAATAAAAGCAGGTAAAATTATTATAAAGAAATATTGCTGTTTACTACTTCCACCCATCCAACAATGATAACCCACCCCTACCCACCTTATGTTATGTAACATATGCACGGACCACCCATGACGGTTATCTACAGTGTTTATCTCAGCTTCACCAGCTAACATGTAGAGTGGGTTGTATGTACTATGTGAGGTCTGTTGGTGTCATTGTGTGTGTCTGTGTGTGTCTGTGTGTGTGTGATTATCACTGACTAATATTGTCTAGTGGTGTGTGTGGGGGTGGGTGGGTGGATGATTATCACTAATATTGTCAGTGGTGTTATTGTGTGTGTGTGTGGGGGGGGGGGGGGAATTATTACTGACAAATATTGTCTAGTGTTTTGTGTGTGAGTGTGTGTGATTATCACCAACTAATCTTGTGTAGTGTGTGTGTGTGTTTTGGGATTATCACTGACTAACCTTCTTTAGTTTGTGTGGGATTATCGCGGACTAACCTTGTCTAGTGTGTGTGGGATTATCACGTGACATGGCGTGTCACCTCACTCTCCAGAGCCGCCTGTGGATAAGGAGAGAGCATTTAATATGAATTTTTAAACACCTGTTAATTTATAAAGCATTATTATAGCCACTTACAAAGTTTTAAAGCGGAGAAGAAAGTATTGGCAGGACTGTTACCAATAATGTATGATACGGACGGGTTTGACTGTATTTCGTGGATAATAATAATTTGGTGTATAAATCTAATATGTGTCAGTGTGGCTTTTTAAATTCAGGGTTGGTGGGGGGGGGGGGCGTGAAGATGGAATTTTTGCCCCACCACCTCCCACACTAAGTCCCCAGTGTTTTACAAGAAGCAATGGTAAAGAGCACTTGATAGATAAAAGTAAACACAAAACATAACAAACAATTAGAACTTTGTGACTAAAACCCGACTGTTTCTCTCTCTAGCAACATGTCCCACCCAGTCACTGACCAACCCGGCGTCAACCTGCAACCCATGAAACCTGGCTACGCCCCTCCCCCAGGCCAACCACCATACGGACAACCTGGATATTATCCACCCCCAGGGCAGCCCGGGTATCCACCCCCAGGCCAACCCGGATATCCACCCCCAGGGCAGCCTGGGTTCGCCCCTGGTCAGTATCCACCTGGATATGGACAACAGCCAGGTAATTATGTCTTGAAGCTTACCTGTCAAATACAACCATTTCTTTTTTCTTACAACTAAGTTAAAAAAAAAAACTTATATTTTTCTATATTGTTTATTAAATGTCTAAATGACTATTAATCATCAGCTAGACAATGTAATGAAAATCGTTATTTACAAGGTCGCATTTTAATCAGATTGTTTTTAAAAATCATTTCTTATCTAGTTAACACGCCATTAGATAGTGACTGGTTAACTTGTAGGGAAATCTTATACTAGGTCGGGAAGGGGGGGGGGGGGAAAGAGATCCCTGAGGTCATTTAAAGTGACATTATTTTTAGCACTGACAAATGGTAAATATCAGTTACCTTTGAACGAGGGCACATAAGGTGATACTTTTATGGAATGTAGCCAAAAATGTGTAAATATAAAACCACACACACAGACATAAGCAGCTCAAGATGTTTCAAATCTATACAGATTAATTTTTGTATGAAATCTCTTTTTAAATGAAACAAAAATCTATGTATTTATCTTGAATTCAATATGTTGAATAAATGATTTTTAACATTATATTATCTTGTGCTTAGAAATTATTTTAAAATCCTTAACTAGAGAGATAAACTGTTAATCTTACCCTGTAGCTAGATCTAGTTTGTTTTTTTTAAAGAAAATTAAAAATTAAGGATCACTTATAAGTCCACTTAATTTTGTGTTGCGAGCAAAATGTAATTATTGTACAAAAATATTTTGAGAAATTTTTTTTTAATCAGTGGTTTGGATGCCCCCTGTTGAACCTGTTCCTAACTGTCCAAAAGGTCTGGAATATTTGACCCAACTTGACCAGGTGCTCATCAAACAGGAAGTCCATTTGATGGAAGGTAAGGTGGGAAGGTTTCACTTCCACGCCATTGTGGTCTTGACTCATCTGAAATTAGTTCATTTTCTTTTCCTCTGTTGATTTTAGTGCTATATATCTATATATATATAATTCTCTTCTTGGAGACCATAGAAAACACCAAGCTGTAAGCGCGCCTAGCAGCCCCCTCTCTTCCTCTCTATGCATATCCCTACCACCCCACCCCACATGGTCTGGTGGGCTGTGGTTCACGCTAAATGTTTACAATCGTAGAGCCGGGTCTAGTGACAGCTATTAGAGGCTAATAATTCAGTTTGAAACGATTTTAAACTTAGGGGAGGTAACTAAGAGGAGGCTGCTTTCACGAGGGGGGGGGGGGTAAGGGTTGGGGGAAAGGGGGGGGGGTTATCACCCTTAACGAGCTACTGATAGTGTTTTAAAGCAAATATTTTCAGTGGCAGCATTGGTACTTTCGAATTCACAAATTATGAATTACTGAAAAGTAGAAAATAAAACAACTAAATAGCGGCGTATGATACGCTGCGGGTCGGCTCGTATATATATTGAAGCTTTACCAAGTGTAATGGCTGTCAGGCAAAAATTTTCAGCAGTTCTTTTTCCAAAAAATATATCTAGAGCCTACTTCCAACCGATTTATACTGTCCACTTAATGTACACATTAGAAAGTAAAATCACAATTTCAGACCTGGTGGTCAATAGGGCAGACGAAGTAGTTCACCTGTTTCTGTGACCTCAGCAAATGCAGGGTTATTGTGGTCAGTTCTATGCCCAGCTGCATTACCTACATGAGTCAGGCACCAAACAGAGCTGGGTGGACTTGAGACCAGACTTGTGGGTTACCAGATGCATGTTCTACTGTCCAAACATGCCATCCCACTGACTGTAAACTTATTGTCAATATTTGTTGTCATGTAAATGTTTGTTTGCTATTTTCTTGGCAGTGGTCACCAACTGGGAATGCAGCAACAAATACAAAATCTTCAACAACCAGGGCCAACAGTGTTACTATGCTTTTGAAAGTGAGCAGTTTGTACATCTTGTTAGCTGATAAGTAGTCGCTAGAGGGCTAATATCTCGAGGCTTAAAATTGAAAGTAGTAGGCCTACTAAAACTAGGAAGAAATGTTTACATAAATTAAAATATACAGGCTTTACATACCTATCACTATATGTATATATATATATATATATATATATATATATATATATATATATATATATATATATATATATATATATATATATATATATATATATATATATATAATTAATCAATTGATTTGATGCTGCTTCTAGACATTTTTTTTACATGATGATGTATTAAAACAATGTTAAATTCTAAACATTTTTTTACATGATACTGTAATAAAACAAAGTTAAATTCTAAACATTTTTTTACATGATAATGTAATAAAACAAAGTTAAATTCTAAACATTTTTCCAGAATCCAATGCTTGTGCTCGCCAGTGCTGTGGGCCCAATCGAGGATTTAAAATTCATGTGGAAAACAACTTAAAAGAAGTAGGAATATTTTGTTAGCTACAGCTTGTAGGAATATTTTGTTAGCTACAGCTTATATGGATATTTTGTTAGCTACAGTTTGTAGGAATATTTTGTTAGCTACAGCTTTTAGGAATATTTTGTTAGCTACAGTTTATATAACTAGAAATATTTGTATTTACCCACATAAATTATACAGCTTAGTGCTTTTTAAATTATTCTCACACTTGTTGAGAGGTATTAAATACTGGAGATTTTATGTAGATAAGAAAATAATGAAAACACCATAAACACATCTTTCATTTGTAAATATACATGACAGCTTGTATAAATAGACATATTAGTACTTGCTTCAAATTTGTTTTTGGAAAATACATTTTAAAGTATCTGGAGAGTGTGTGAAAGAGAGAAGGGGAACAGACAATGGGTTTACAGAAGATGTAGTGGTGTGCTATTTTATTAAGTGGTTGACCTAGATCAGAGTGAAGTGTTTTCTTAGTCACTTAGCAAACCAAAAGAAAATTTACACCCACTATTTCAGTGACAGTTTAATAAACTTATAAATGTACAGTTATAAGTATTCATTGTTCACAATATTGGTTGTATAAAACAAGAATTTAATTGTTTAGATTTTTAAATAGCATGAGTTCTAAAAATAATATAGAAAATAATTCAAGCACTATTTTTATTGTAGAAAATAATTCAAGCAATATTTCTTTTTGTTAAAAATAATTCGAGCAATATTATTATGTGAAGAATAATTCAAGAAATATTTTTTGTAGAGAATAATTCAAGCAATATTTTTCAATAGAAAATAATTCAAGCAATATTTTTTTTACAGAGAATAATTCAAGCAATATTATTATGTGAAGAATAATTTAAGAAATATTTTTTTGTAGAGAACAATTCAAGCAATATTTTTCAATAGAAAATAATTCCATCAATATTTTGTTATTGTAGAAAATCTTCTCATTGAAAAGACCATTTAAGTGTTGTGGTGGGTGCAACTGGTGTGCTGCCTTCAGGTGTTTTCAAGATGAAGTCAGTGTTTATGCCAAGGATGGCACTCAACTAGGCTACGTCAGACAAGCGTAAGTTCTGAGAATATTCTTCAATCATCAGGATTTTAAAAGTGGTTGATGCCAGAACTTTAAAATATTTGCCTGAAAATAAGTATTGAGATTAGCAAAAAAAAAAAAAAAAAAAAAGAACCAGCCAAGAGTGATGGTTATTGGATGACATGGCCGGTAATCTATCGTTTTGGGTACGTAAAATCACCCGCAACTTGTAATGTGAAAACCAGGTGACTCCTTAAATTTTAATAATTCTTTCACATTTTGAGGAGGATTTATGTTTTGAAAAATACAAAAATGTTTCCTTGTTTCATTTATGTACCTGTTTTTATTCAATTGAATTAAAACTTTTCAGTAGTAAATGAACACCAGCAATGTTTCCAACAGATGCAACCATGCTCATTTACTCTAGCAGCCATCTTGTTAAAGTTTTATTTTTATAGACTTATAGCGCGAGATTCAGGCAGAAGTCACTCTATTTTACAAATGGCTGCTGTTTAAATAGCAAATCTTGCTTGCAGACACTGCTGTTTAAAGTTAATTTCTGGCCTATATTGATATATTTAGCCATTGATTTAGGTTTATTATTCATTTATCTATAATATTTGACACAAACATATCACAATATACTATATACTTCTATTACAGCCTTGATAAGGAGGTAACATTTTCGTACATTAATAGCCGCGGGCGATTTTACGTACCCAAAACGATAGATTACCACATGGCCTGGTAGTAAAGTGCTAGACTGCTAATCCAAATGTCTAGAGTTCAAATCTGGGTTCAAGTCAGTAGAAAATCCCTGAGTCTGAGTCCACCTTGCTCTGATGAGTACCTAATTCATGTCAGTGAAAATAAAGGTGGCTGAGCATAGTGCTGACCACACTATCCTTCATACGCCAAGGTCAACAAACATATGAACTCCACTTGATCTGTCCAACTGATCGCTAGGTCTAAAGAGGAATCTGTAAGAGTGATGTTTAATAATTTATAATTAGAGATATGTTAAGTATAAATATCTCTGAGTTGATTATAGTGTTAATAAACTTTATTAAATAAATATTTTTCTTTTTCAATTTAGCTGTTCATTTTGGAAGCCCCACTACACCATTCTGGACCAAGATAAAGATCCGAAGTTTGAAATTTGGGGACCTTGTTGTCCATGTACTGCATGCAACACTGATGTAGAATTTCCAGTAAGTTTCTTTAATAAAAAACAAGCATTGACTTTATTTTTTTTTAAAGTGTTGAATGATTTCTGGTTTTTTGTCTTGTTCAATATGAACTGAATATGTTGATTTTTAAATAAAATAATTTTCTTACACTTAAGCTAAGACTAAATTTAATGGCATTATCTCACTGATTAAAAATTGAAAAACAAAATGTTTCCAGGTACGCCCAATGGGAAGTGAAACTGTTGTAGCTAACATCACTAAACAATGGTCAGGTTTTTTGCAAGAGTATTTTACTGATGCTGATAACTTTGGGGTGTCATGTAAGTTAAATATACTGCAGAAGTTATTGCATTAAAACATGAACTCATTAGTAAAAATAAGTGAATAGAAAAGAAATAAATTTTATTCAAAATTAAATGATTATCAGTATAATGGAAGGTTAATGATTACAGATTTGGTAAATATTACTTTCCTCTAGCCAGTGGCTTGATTGTGTTCATCCGTTGTTTTGTCCATATTGTTGAAATAACAGCAGACTGTATCAATAGATATAAGAAGGAAGATAACTGCCAACTCCTTATTTAGAAGAACATATGGAAATGGTGACAAATTAATTTCCTTATTTAATGTTTTAATTTTATTTTCAGTCCCTAAGGATCTGGATGTAAAACTGAAAGCTACCTTAATGGCATGCGTTTTTCTCATTGTAAGCCTTAAACATTTTTATTTATTATTGTTTTTACTGTAACTGTTTTTTTTAAAAGTTTGGCACTTTAAAAAAAAAAGCAGCAACAGAGGATTTGATATCAAAAAGATAAAAAGTAATGTATCTTTTAGAGTTTATTTAAAAAACATTTTACAAAATATTTATTTTTAAAAGAATTAATTTTTAATTATTGGTATTAACATTTTTTTTCTTAATTTAAAAGAAGTTGTTAATAAGTAGTAAAACAAAAATGCTGCCTTTATATAAATATAAAATCTATGTTTCATCTAATCAAAATTATTTTTGTTTTCTTATTTTTTAAAACTATTTTTTTACAGGATTTCATGTACTTTGAAACAGCACCAAATAACCAAAATCACCACCACCATTACTAGAGAAATGAAGAGTCACATTGCAACTGGTAGCAAACTAGCTGTACATGCAGAACCATCACCTGCATTCTGTAAATTATTTCAGCCAATTTGTACATTTTGTGTATTAAATTTTTTATGAAATTTTTAATATCTACATTTATGTTCAAGTGATTTTTACAATAAACACACATTTATCTTGTTGCTTTGAGATAAGTAAGCAAAATCAGATTGTTTGCGTTAAATATTACTATTGACTGTCCATTTTGCTGCATAAATTTAAAGTCTGGTCAGTTTGGTTTAAAAGTGCTGGGAAAATAGAGAAACCAAAATTTCTCTATTAATATTTTTTAAAATAAATAATTTATCTGGCTAATGCTTTGTATTTCAATGGTCTCTAAATGGCGAGCACTTATTAGCATGCATTTAAAAACAATGGTGGTAGGCCAATTAGGCAAAAAACAAAAACATGCTGAAATTGTCAAATGCTGCAAGGATGATATAATCCCAGTGCAGTGGTCCCAGGTCCTCACTCAGTGCAGTGGTCCCAGGTCCACACTCAGTGCAGTGGTCCCAGGTCCACACTCAGTGCAGTGGTCCCAGGTCCACACTCAGTGCAGTGGTCCCAGGTCCACACTGCAGTGGTCCCAGGTCCACACTCAGTGCAGTGGTCCCAGGTCCACACTGCAGTGGTCCCAGGTCCACACTCAGTGCAGTGGTCCCAGGTCCACACTGCAGTGGTCCCAGGTCCACACTCAGTGCAGTGGTCCCAGGTCCACACTCAGTGCAGTGGTCCCAGGTCCACACTCAATGCAGTGGTCCCAGGTCCACACTCAGTGCAGTGGTCCCAGGTCCACACTCAGTGCAGTGGTCCCAGGTCCACACTCAGTGCAGTGGTCCCAGGTCCACACTCAGTGCAGTGGTCCCAGGTCCACACTCAGTGCAGTGGTCCCAGGTCCTCAGTGCAGTGGTCCAAGGTCCACACTGCAGTGGTCCCAGGTCCACACTCAGTGCAGTGGTCCCAGGTCCTCAGTGCAGTGGTCCCAGGTCCTCAGTGCAGTGGTCCCAGGTCCACACTCAGTGCAGTGGTCCCAGGTCCACACTCAGTGCAGTGGTCCCAGGTCCTCAGTGCAGTGGTCCCAGGTCCACACTCAGTGCAGTGGTCCCAGGTCCTCAGTGCAGTGGTCCCAGGTCCTCAGTGCAGTGGTCCAAGGTCCTCAGTGCAGTGGTCCCAGGTCCTCAGTGCAGTGGTCCAAGGTCCACACTCAGTGCAGTGGTCCCAGGTCCACACTCAGTGCAGTGGTCCCAGGTCCTCAGTGCAGTGGTCCCAGGTCCTCAGTGCAGTGGTCCCAGGTCCTCAGTGCAGTGGTCCCAGGTCCACACTGCAGTGGTCCCAGGTCCACACTCAGTGCAGTGGTCCCAGGTCCACACTCAGTGCAGTGGTCCCAGGTCCTCAGTGCAGTGGTCCCAGGTCCTCAGTGCAGTGGTCCCAGGTCCTCAGTGCAGTGGTCCAAGGTCCACACTGCAGTGGTCCCAGGTCCACACTCAGTGCAGTGGTCCCAGGTCCTCAGTGCAGTGGTCCCAGGTCCTCAGTGCAGTGGTCCCAGGTCCACACTCAGTGCAGTGGTCCCAGGTCCTCAGTGCAGTGGTCCCAGGTCCTCAGTGCAGTGGTCCCAGGTCCTCAGTGCAGTGGTCCCAGGTCCTCAGTGCAGTGGTCCAAGGTCCACACTGCAGTGGTCCCAGGTCCACACTCAGTGCAGTGGTCCCAGGTCCTCAGTGCAGTGGTCCCAGGTCCTCAGTGCAGTGGTCCCAGGTCCACACTCAGTGCAGTGGTCCCAGGTCCTCAGTGCAGTGGTCCCAGGTCCTCAGTGCAGTGGTCCCAGGTCCACACTCAGTGCAGTGGTCCCAGGTCCACACTCAGTGCAGTGGTCCCAGGTCCACACTCAGTGCAGTGGTCCCAGGTCCACACTCAGTGCAGTGGTCCCAGGTCCTCAGTGCAGTGGTCCAAGGTCCACACTGCAGTGGTCCCAGGTCCACACTCAGTGCAGTGGTCCCAGGTCCTCAGTGCAGTGGTCCCAGATCCTCACTCAGTGCAGTGGTCCCAGGTCCACACTCAGTGCAGTGGTCCCAGGTCCACACTCAGTGCAGTGGTCCCAGGTCCTCAGTGCAGTGGTCCCAGATCCTCACTCAGTGCAGTGGTCCCAGGTCCACACTCAGTGCAGTGGTCCCAGGTCCACACTCAATGTAGTGGTCCCAGGTCCACACTCAGTGCAGTGGTCCCAGGTCCACACTCAGTGCAGTGGTCCCAGGTCCACACTCAGTGCAGTGGTCCCAGGTCCTCAGTGCAGTGGTCCAAGGTCCACACTGCAGTGGTCCCAGGTCCACACTCAGTGCAGTGGTCCCAGGTCCTCAGTGCAGTGGTCCCAGGTCCTCAGTGCAGTGGTCCCAGGTCCTCAGTGCAGTGGTCCCAGGTCCACACTCAGTGCAGTGGTCCCAGGTCCACACTCAGTGCAGTGGTCCCAGGTCCTCACTCAGTGCAGTGGTCCCAGGTCCTCAGTGCAGTGGTCCCAGGTCCACACTCAGTGCAGTGGTCCCAGGTCCACACTCAGTGCAGTGGTCCCAGGTCCACACTCAATGTAGTGGTCCCAGGTCCACACTCAATGTAGTGGTCCCAGGTCCACACTCAGTGCAGTGGTCCCAGGTCCACACTCAGTGCAGTGGTCCCAGGTCCACACTCAGTGCAGTGGTCCCAGGTCCACACTCAGTGCAGTGGTCCCAGGTCCTCAGTGCAGTGGTCCCAGGTCCACACTCAATGCAGTGGTCCCAGGTCCACACTCAGTGCAGTGGTCCCAGGTCCACACTCAGTGCAGTGGTCCCAGGTCCACACTCAGTGCAGTGGTCCCAGGTCCTCACTCAGTGCAGTGGTCCCAGGTCCTCACTCAGTGCAGTGGTCCCAGGTCCACACTCAGTGCAGTGGTCCCAGGTCCACACTCAGTGCAGTGGTCCCAGGTCCACACTCAGTGCAGTGGTCCCAGGTCCACACTCAGTGCAGTGGTCCCAGGTCCTCAGTGCAGTGGTCCCAGGTCCACACTCAATGCAGTGGTCCCAGGTCCACACTCAATGCAGTGGTCCCAGGTCCACACTCAGTGCAGTGGTCCCAGGTCCTCAGTGCAGTGGTCCCAGGTCCTCACTCAGTGCAGTGGTCCCAGGTCCTCACTCAGTGCAGTGGTCCCAGGTCCTCACTCAGTGCAGTGGTCCTAGGCAGTGGTCCCAGGTCCACACTCAATGTAGTGGTCCCATCCCAATTCTACAGTGTGATTTTGTGTATCCTGTAAATGGCTATAGGCCCAAGAAAGGAGATTGATTGTCATATTAGAATGTACACATTCATTAATGATGGTTGGCATGTAAGTGCTTGATATACAATATTTAGATTTTCGGCTAGTTATGTTTACATTATATTAGAATATATGTTTATCTATATAAGATAGTTGGTTTGATAAAAACAGTAGTCGATGGAATTTTATTAATATCTAACATAGTTTGAAGAGTGGACTTAGGCAAAAATTTTAAAATTTCACCAAGAAGGTATTAAAAAGATATTAAAAAATAGTAGCTTGGTAACTTTTCTTAATGTATTTCCATTTATTTATTAAAAGTTACAAGTTCTTGCTTTTTATTGCAATCCCCCACCCCCTCCTCCTCACAAACAGCTAAAAACAAATGTATATCACCAATCAGGTCACTGTTACTCTCATTGAATTAAAGAAGATAATTTAATGGCAAAAAAATGTATAAGTTATAATTATGATATAAAAGAATTACAATTAAAAAATTAACTCAAAAAGCTAAAAGCAATTTAAGAATATTATTACTTATAGCTCAACATTTTACTTAAGACATCAATTGTAGAATCAATGCTATCTTATTTTCAGATATGAATTAAAAAAATGATCTTGTTTATTTAGCTCAATATGTTATTTACTAAAGATAAAACAAAAAGTTCTAACATTGTATTGTTTATGTTTGTAATTCATCACACATACATTTTCCTTTTTCCCCACCCAAACTCAGTACACCGTGACATCAGTCAGACCCCCACCCAAACTCAGTACACCATGACATAAATAAGACCCCCACCCAAACTCAGTACACCATGACATCAGTCAGACCCCCACCCAAACTCAGTACACCGTGACATATATAAGACCCCCACCCAAACTCAGTACACCATGACATCAGTCAGACCCCCACCCAAACTCAGTACACCGTGACATATATAAGACCCCCACCCAAACTCAGTACACCGTGACATATATAAGACCCCCACCCAAACTCAGTACACCATGACATCAGTCAGACCCCCACCCAAACTCAGTACACCATGACATAAATAAGACCCCCACCCAAACTCAGTACACCATGACATAAATAAGACCTCTCCCTTTCAGCACACCGTTACTAACGTCAGCTAGATTACACTAGGGGTCATCATTAAATGACGTCATGGTTTTTTTGACGATTTTTACTTCCCCACTCCCCTCCGTCACACATCGTCACAAAAAGCCAGACGCCCCTAAAATGACGTCACACCTCAGCCTACAACCTACCCCCCCCTAAAAGTTGTCTTTGAATTTTTCTTAAAACATCGATGTTTTTCCAAAAACTCTGTCAACTTAGAGTATTTTAATCAATTCCTATTATAATTTATTAAATCAGTTTTCTAAAACGCAAAATTACGGCTCAAATTCGTTTTCTAACATTGCTTTTTGCAATGCGAAAGTGTGATGTCACACCATTATGAACATGCCCCCCCCCCCCTCCTCATCGCACACCGTCACAAAATTACGGACCCCCCTCCCCGCTACGAGTGTGACGTCATTTATGGACGACCCACCCTACCTGTATCAGTAAATTTTTCTTCTTCAAAGAAAAACAACTCAATATTATTGTCAAACTTTACCTAGCTTAGTTACCTCCCCTAAAGAAAAACACGGGAGATGCTCTTTTGGCATACTTTTAAAAAAAATTTATATAGAAATATGGGGAGGGGGTGGTTAAATAGTGCTGTGAATTTGTGGACAGGGTCGGACTCTTTGCGAAGCTGTGTGATGTGTGTGTGGGAAGAGTCAAACAACTTTGGCGATATCTATAGACAACTCCTACACAGAGTTTCTTCCAGGCATCTCTTTTACCGCCTCCCCCCCCCCCCGAACGAAATGAAATTTATATAATTTATATAGAAAATATATACTTTTAACAGTGTCGGCCCCCCCCCCCCGAAGAAAGTCTACCGCCCCCCCCTCCCCCCAAAAATTTCAAGTGCCCCCCCCCCGGAGAAAAAAGTCTGGAAGAAACACTGCTCCTACACAGACTTAAAACGCTTGCACACAAGACAAGCTAAAATAAATCAGACCATTTTAGACCGTGATGGTGATGCAATCATTTATAAACACTGGCGAACATTGTGTCTGTACATCATTGAATTAAATACACGAGGGTCAAGGTCCTAACTCGTTTGCGTGTTCTATTTAAAGCCAACAGACAATCTTGTTATACTAAATTGTGATTGGTTCAAACAGGTGACCACTCATCAATTAAAAAATATAAACATAAACATGTTGTGTGTAGAAACAGAAGTAGGCCTATCAACTTTTAGCGCGCACCCAAGAGACAAGACAGCCAGACGGTTGATATAGATCTTCAACAGACGTCAGTGACTGCTGCTAAGATAAGTTTTGTAGAGTCATTCTCGTATACATTAATATGATATAGAATTACTGAATTAGTCTAATTAAATCTAAATCTATTGTTTATTTTCCTCTTTCTTATATATAATGGTTATAGTATAACTTATACATATATTATATAAATTAAATACATATAAATTAATGTAGAACATAGTATTAGAGACTATAATGTCACTATATTTTAGTACTAGATCTATACGTCACTATATAGTACTATATACTAGTTATAGTTATTTATTAATATTTATTAATATTTATTATAGCCTATATCATTGCATATGGACTTTTAGGTCTTATATGCCCATTTTTTTATAGGCCTAGACTTAGACCTACATTAAATAATAAATCTGATACTAGAGTCTATACTAAAAAAACTATATAAATATAATTAAATATATATTATTAGGCCTAGATAAAATAATATTCTATACTATAGGGCCTATACTATTTTAGTTTTCATCTAGATCTAGAGATCTACTTGGGATCTTGACCTTTATCAAAGTAATTATTTTTTTTGTAATATAACTTCTTGCTTTTAATTTTCTATTAACATTCTATGAAAAATATTTGATTTTATTATATTTTTTATTATCTTTCTGTGCTTTCAAAAACATTTATTTCTTATTTATGGTTAAAGACATAACTGTTGTTGTACACCCCTACTTATTATTTAAATGTAACTTTTAATAAGTAATTAGACTTAACTTTATATACCAGCCTCTTTTATTAAGATTTGTGCTATTATTCTGTGCAGCAGCAAAAACATAATAATATAGTTATCTACAAATCTATTATTGTATGACCTATGGATATAATTATTTCAGATGCCCAAAATTTTGTTTTAATTTATCTATCAACACATTCATATTATAATTATAATATTGTCATTGTTCATGTTTTTTAACTAATTTTAAAACATTTTCATTGTATGATAAAAAATCCAATCAGTTGCCAATTAAGTTTATCAGGATTAGATCTATATTCTTTTAATGATAGCTTGTTTATATGCTAGTCAAGATGTTAATTGGTAAATTTACCTAAAATTTTATCTTGCATGATCTTATTAAAAATATTTAAGTGCTCTACAGGTTTAAAATCAATGGTAACATTAACAAACCATTCTAACTATAATATGAAATCAGATGTTTATTGAATAGTGTTGATTTAAACTATTGTAATACAAGGGAATTATTTAAGCTTTTTATGTTTAGCTTGTTGTGTAAAAAAATCTGCTTATTTCCTCAACCCTTTTTGTGACTTATGTGGTTTATAATGTAATGACATTTTTCCACACTAACATCTGAATTAGATGGTTTTACTTTTCAGTTAAACGTTTATTTAAAGGCTTTTAGCTAGCAACCAGTTATTGACAGCAGCAGAATAACCATGACTCAGCAAAGTATAAATACACACAGAAATTTTTTCATTTCAGTCTAAATATGTTGTAGAAAATTAGACTTTTTATGAGAAACATAAAAGATATGACACTTATTAGGACTAATTCAATTCGTCTCCCTTTATTTTAATATGCTTGAAAACTTAGTCTTTTAAGCTTATAAGCTTATTTATGTTTATTTTCCTATTCATGGAGAAGTATTTGTGTTTTTATCATTTAATTTCAAGTCTTTTTTTTTTACTTAAATTAAAATGTTACTGTTTATTCTATCATACATTTGTGTTCACTAGATCTATATCTATTACATCCACAATTCTACAGGCTACTAAAATCTTAAACAAAACAGGTTGGATAAACACTTTCTTTGATCTTTCTTTTAGTGAATATTTAATTCTAATTTTATATTTTCATGTATGCTGTCTTTCAATGAGGTTCATATGAAATTAATTTTGAGTCAAATGTTTTCTACACTAAAAAATTTCTATTCCTATAAATAAGTTGAAAATGTCTCATTTTTCTGTTTGTATTTTATCCTTCTTAGTCTTAAAAAATACTTTGAGCCTTTCATTTAAACTGTAATGTCAATACAATTTTTTTTCCACATTATTTTATCAAATAGACTATTCTAAATACCTTAACAACATTTCCAATGTTTACTAACAATAATTTTACTATATACATAAAATACCCTTTTTACACTTAAGATTCCTCATTTAAATTTTGCTATGTTTTCTGCCTTTTTTTTTTTGGAGAAATTAGTCTTAATACTATATATTTTCTCTTATAATTTTTTTATTTCAGCAAATTTAAAACTTAGCTTTATTTTGAATTGATAGATTGTTATTTATAAATGTTTTACTTCTTTATTATTTCTTTATCTTTGAAAGAAATGAATTTTCAATGTTTTTAACTATATAAAATGTTTGTTTACTTTATTTTGATTATAATCTGAAATAGTTGTATTCTATAAATCTATGAAGTTTTATTCACATTTGAGCTATAAGTTTTCTGCTCATCCATTTTCTCACAGCATAATCTTTATCTCTGATTTATTAAATAATTTTACTACTGAAATTATTTATTCTACAATCTTTGTTACATTTTTTGTGCTCAAGTTAAATTTACTGAGCACACACTTTTGCATAGCTTCCCAACACTTCACATTTGCAAACTTTTGTTAATATGAGATGTGTACATAACTACATGCAGTCTTTTGCAGGCTGCAGTTTATTATTGATATTTATTGTCAACTTACCCATCATTTTGGTGTAAAATTTACTAACATAAATTAGGCAATTATCTTAACATTGAGCTAAAAATTTTAATCCTGGTAAAAAACATGTCATTTAAACTTGCATTTTTATTCTTTGTTAATTTATATGTTTAGCATTTACAAACAGTGACTATTTCAAGGTTGAACTATTGACCATTCCAAGGTCAAATATTGACCATTTAATTTTTACTTGACAGGTTAATATGTTATATTACAATTTTATATTCAATTTCATGTTGTATTCTCAGTGAATTTAACTCGTTTTTAATTGTTGTGAAATTGTTTTCAGCTTAAAAAACAAAATTTGTTACAGGCAAGTAATAAATCTTGGTTTATTACTTTGTCCCCTGACCCCATGTCTGGTTGACCCTGTACATGTTAAAATTTAACACATTTTCAATGAACAGCAGATGGTTAAGTCTGATAGATGTACACATTTTAATTTACAGAATGGGAGAGAATCTACTGGTTCTTGCAGGGAGCAATGGAGAGGATC